AATAAAAGCTATTTCATAAATGCAGTAAAAAGAAACTGTCCTATACGCCAGGCTATCTGCCCCCCTTTGTAAACTCTTTTTTCCATTTATTTCAACACTAAACAATGTGGACATTTCTTTTTTAAAAAGCCGAAGGAAAGGGGAGGACGGGGCAGGAGAGGGCAATGGGGGAAAAGGTGGGACAACTGTAACTGAACAACAATAAAAAAAAATATGAAAGATCCATGGGGAAAAAAAGCAAAGCAGCGTATGTACTATTGTGTTTCGAGAAAGTTTAAGGAAATCTAGAAAATAATAACATTTTAAAAATCTAGATGGTAGGTCCATGGGTTTTTAATCACAAAAATGTTTCCTTTTTTATTTCCTGCATATCTGAAATATCTCATAATAAAAATAACAATCTTATGTTCTACTCAAAATATGGCTTTAAAAAAACTGTGTGATAGAAAACTCTGACAGATAAGAATAATGAAAACATAAATGAACACAGCATTGCTAACCTTAATTTTATATATGCATAGACATGTGTGTGTGTGTTTATATACAAATACACATACGTGCATATCCAATTAGAAAGGTGTTTTCACATTACCAGAGCATAATTTTAGTTGGGGGAGAGCGCTAAGGGCTCCATCAAAAAGAGTAGGATATGAACCAAAAATGAAGAAGTTCAGAGAAGAGTAACATAGCCTGGAGAAGACAAGGCTTGGATGGGGGTGGGGGGCGGGAAGAGCTGGCTTTAAATTCTTGAAGCAGGAGGCAGAGTCAGGATGGCAGAGTAGGTAACTCCTGGTTCGCCTCCTCCTGTGAACACGTAAAAGTTACAACTGAGCTGTAGAGCGACCCTCACTGAGAACAACCTGAAGACCCACTGAACAGAATTCCTATAACTAAGGGTGTAAAGAAGAAGCCACATCAAGACAGGTAAGAAGGGCAGAGACATGGTCTAGGCAAGGCAGGCCCCGCACCCGTGACTAATAAACGGGAGAAATATCTTGGCTTCAAAGTTGTCCCCTGAAGAAGCAGTGGGTCTGAGCCCCACACTGAGCTCTTCCACTTGGGGCGCCTGTGCCGGGAAACAAAGTGCCCAACACATCTGGCAGGGGTTATATCTGAGAGAGAAGACCTGTGGGAGACTGAGATGCTGGCCTTAAAGGGCACGCACACCAACGCACGAGCTCCAAGCTCTAGACTAGAGGCAGCAGTTCGAGAATTGTGTTTGTCACAGGCGGGAAGAATTAAATTGACTAAGTTTAGGACGAGGGCAAGGATTATTGGGGACTCTCTCAAGGGAAGGCTGTGCTGGCAGGCTCTTCCTTTGTTGAGCTCTCTTCCTACCTAGCTGTCCCTGAACAGGTGGGCGCAAAACCTGTCACTCTCCCTTAACCCAGCCAACTCCATTGTCCCAATCCCCAATAACTCCCTGCGGTCTGGCCCTGCCCAGCCCACTCACCCAGCCAGAGCCTCTCTCCGAGGCTTCAGGCCCTCTACACGAGCAGCAGCCAGCCTCTGCTCACACGCAGTCTCTTGCAAACAGCCTCAAGCTCCGCACAGGTGACGCTGTCTTCAGCGTGCGCTGTGGCACCTACCGAGCAGCCCCAAGACCCACACAGGTGGCGGCTCGCCTCTGCCTGCCCCAGAGCCCCTCCCAAGGTGCTCCCTTGTGTCCTGCTGGTGGAAATGTAAAATGGTGCAGCCACTATAGAAGGCAGTATAGGCATTCCTCAAAAAATTAAAAATAGAACTACCATGTGACCCAACGACCCCACTTCTGGGCATTTATCTGAAGAAATTGAAGACATTAATTTAAAAAGATGTATGTGTCTATTCATTGCACCATTTTTTACCACAGCCAGCCTATGGAAGGAAACTAGATGTCCATTGATAGATGAGTGGGTAAAGATGTGGTACATATATACAATGGAATACTACTCAGCCATAAAAAGAATGAAATTTTGCCATTTGCAACAACATGGGTGGACCTAGAGAGTATTATGCTAAGTAAGTTTAAGTCAGACAGAGAAAGACAAGTACTACATGATTTTGTTTGTGTGTGGGATCTAAAAAGCAAAATAAACAAACAAAACAACACAAAAACAAACTCATAAATACAGAGAACAAACTGATGGTTGTCAGATGGGAGGCGGGTGGGGAGTATGAGCAAGAAAGATGAAGGAGATTAGGGAGTTCAAACTACCAGTTGTAACAAGCGAAATAGAGACAGGCTCATAGGCTGACAGTGGGCTGACTGCTGGTGGGGATCGGGGAGGGGTGTGGGTGATGGGCTGGGAGTGAAGGGATTGAATAAAAGAAAAAAGAGAAAAATTTCATGGACACAGACAACAATGTGGGGATTTCTGGGGGGAGGGAGGAGGGGGAGGTCGAGGAGGACATGGGGGAATAAATGGTGATGGATGGAGACTTGACTTGGGGTGGAGAACACACAATGTAGTGATAGATGATGTGTTGTGGAACTGTGCATCTGAAACCTGTATAATTGTTAACCAGTGTCACCCCAATAAATTCCATAAAAAGGAAAATGAACAAGCAGTTGTAAAATTCATCACAGGGTCATAAAGTACAGCATGGGTAATATAGTCAATAATATGGTAGTAACTATGCATGGTGCCAGATGGGTACTAGGCTGACCATGATAATCACTCTGTAAGTATATAAATGTCAAACCACTACGCTGTACACCCAAAACTAATACAATATTGCATGTCAACTGTAATAAATAAATACACACATACATAAATAAATTCTGCTGCCAAAAAAAAAAAAACAAGTTAAAGGTATAAAAAAAAAAAGCCCACAGGGGAAGCTTCAATGTCATACATGTCCATGGAGGTTTTCAGTGCTGGGTTACTGAAGGATCTGCAAGAAACATCCAATTCGATGTCTGTTTTTCCTTTCAAAGCCTTCTCTGTTTCCTTCACTACCCTCTTCAAAACACCTTTAAGTGGATATATATCTCGTGAGGTCAAAGTTAAAAAAAAAAGACTAAATGAGAGTGAGAGAAAAGAAAGACAGACTTAAAACAATGAGTTTTCTTTTATTATCCAATAGTTAGGCGCATTTTAAATACCCATCATCATCAAGAGGAAAATGGAGCCAAGTGTCCGATAAGATGTGCTGCACAGAATAACATTCCATAGTGTCAAGACTTCTCGCTTAGGCAGCAAAAGCAACTGAATAAAATAACTGATTTTTCCGCCGTGGACAAAAGACGGTTTCAGTGTTGAGGCACAAGTACTTGTTTAGAGTGGGGAGGACCCAGACTCTCGGGTATTTACTGTGGGAGAGACAACAGCCAGCCTATCTTTCAGAAAAGGAATGCACCATTAAATTGGCTCTGCTTGTCCTTGGCAACCAGAGCTCAGGCCACGTTTTGTCCTCTCTAAGAAGCAAGTGGGAACTTGAAGAGTGTGTAGCATGTCGTGAAAAGGGAGCCACAGACGACGCCCAGTTCTACGGCCAGTGCTGAAAGCTGAACTTCAGAAGTTTCAGGGCCGGGGGATCTTCCCCTCCTTCTTTGTCATCCTGGACATGCAGTCCTGTTACAAAGCACCTTGGTCAGGAGAAAGGACTCATGGACACGGACATCAGTGCGGTGATTGCTGGGGGAGGAGGGTAAAAGGGGACTAAATGGTAATGGAAAAATACAATAAAGATTAAAAAAAAGAAGTACGTTGGTCTGGAAGCAGAGAGGTCCCACTCCTAAGAGAAGACCTGTTCCCTAAGTGTTCCCTGTGTCATTAAAAAGAAGTACTAAAAACAATATGAAACAAAATTCTGGAAGCAGCTGTATTCTCTGAGGAGCCACAGGACTGGACTAAGGTGAGATGGGAGTAAATCAAAGCAGACTTCCTCTCCATTTAAGTGGTAGATGCTCCCCGTGAAAGCTCATCAGAGGTGTATCACAGAAGCGAGGGCCACGCTGCTGGCCCCTCTGGTCCCGAATTTTGCCTCAGCTGTCAGAGGAAAGGCGTCGCGCCGGATACGAGGTTGAACTTACTGACCTTAAACGTCCCTTCCTACCTTAGGAACCTGTTTCTAATAAGCAAAGGGTCAGGGGGATGTGATTTTTGGGGTCCAAGAGAAAGATGATCCCATTTTTGGAGACTCTGCAGAAACACACAGAATTCCAACTGCAGGACGGTTGGAATCAGCCCTTTCTCTCCAGGAGGACAACGGCAGCACCACGGCCGCCAGCTACTCCATTAACAACACCAAGCACCTACTCGGTACCAGGCACAATCCTAGGTGCAGGCAGAGAAAATAAGCACCTGTTAAAAGCATTGAGGTTCACGAATGCTTGTTTTCCATTAGCGTCACGATTCCCTAGCTCTGTGTTCTCTTCAACATGCAAAAGTCCCTTCCACCACCACAGCCAGCCTTGAAGAATATTCTGCTGCCACGGGTCTAGCTACTTCTCCAAGCCTGCTCGATAAACAGAACCCGGCACGGCCAGAACGAGGGAGGCCATGCAGGAGAAGCTGGAGGAGGAGGTAATAATCCCACAAGCACAGATCAATGTCTCCAGAAGCAGTCTTTGCCTCCCTCCTTGGAAGAAGGGTCAGGCCCACCTGCAGAGCAGAGGAGGCGACCACAATGCAGGCTGGCTTCAGGAGCAACAAATGGCCGCACTGATATTATTTCAGGCTAAGACATTCGCTGTAGTAGGACTCTGTTAAAATGTGTTACCTGAATAACTCTATTGTCAAAACATTGCCTAGACATCCAAGACCCTAAGGGAACTGGAAGAAAGAGTGTGTATTTGTAAAGGAGATTGCGGGTGGTGGGGGGAAACTGAAGTTTGAGGACAACAGAATTCACAAGGTGTTGGATCCCTGGGAAGGGGAGGAAGGAACAAGGAGGAAGCACAGAGCAACGTCTGAGTGCAGCTGGAGACTTGGTGGACAGTTTGGTTCTGTAATTAATAAAGAAGAATCCTCACAGAGTATCAGCAAGAGGCCGACGCAAGTTGCCCAGCGTACCTCTTTTTCTTCGCAGGAGTTGTAGCAGAGGTGGGAGCTGACGTGCTGGCGGTGTTCGCACCCAGAAAACCTCCTGGCTGCCTGTTAATCACAAGAACAACAAATATTCACATTCCTGAAACTTTTTCGTTCTACATCGCCTTTAAAGGTCTCATACTCTATTCATACTCCCATCTGCTCTCCACCCACCACAAAATGTTTCACCTGAAGATGGAAGAACAAACAAAAAACAAGTTCTTCCTCAGTTTACCCATTTTATAAATGGACAGGCTCTCATATAAATAACTAAAACTGAAGGAATTAAATAAAGAAATTATTCATTATATGAATAATTGTGTGTCTGAAATCCAGACTGATCAATTCAGGTGTGCTATGGAGATACACACACACACACACACACACACACACACACACACACAATGTATACAAGTGTTTTAAGCCTATAATTATATGGTAACTAAAAATTATATTGCAATGTTTTTTGCATTAAAAGCATTAGTTTGTTTAAGAAAACATTTAAAAATCACACCATTTAAAATCTCTATTTAGTATTTATTAATATGCACAGACCCTCAAAAAAATGGAAGTGGCCCAGGCCTGTTTCAAATACTGAAAGTTTCGGTCCAGTGTGAAAATTATTTTATATGTAAATACAAATTTAAAACTAATCAAGTTTTCAAAAATAAACTTAGTTTGGGTAGGTTATAACTGACAGTAGTACATTCCAAGGAAAACATATTTCGTCCAAATAGATTGCTAACAAACCCACGATTTCATGACTCAGTTGAGCACCAGAGGTGATCGGTGTTCGGGGAGGCATGTGAAATGTGGGAAGAATGAGTTACTTACATAGGAGTAAGAAAACATAAAAAAAGGTTCTGTGGGAAAAGAAACTAAAAATCTCAATTAAAAAAAAAGAAAAAAGAGTTACGCTTTGATGTTTGGTTAGAGCGGAGGTCAGCAAACTTTTTCATTAAAGTTCACGTAGTAAATATTGGAAGCTTTGCAAACTGTTTAGTCTTTCCTCTATTTCTCTCTGCCTAAGCCATAGGGTTGTGGCTATACTACAATTAAACTTTGGCCTGAGAGTGGTATACCCTGGTTTTTCTTGAACACATACAAAGAAATACACTTTGTTCTTAAAATGAAACTTCACTTAGAAAAGTACATACATTTTCGTTGCTTCTGGTGATCTAAATGTGGGCATGTGCCTGGTAAGAAAAAAAAAGGCAAAAGTTTGAGCAACGATGAAGAATTAATACTTGCATCTATTTGAAATTGTCCATGAATTTAGGACTATGATTATTAAGGGTTAGACATTATCTGAGAGAAAGAAAAGGAAAGCATCAGCATTTGAATAAATTTGGTAACACGATTTTATAATCTTTTTATATCTTATACTAGATTGCAAAGGAAATTGTTTTCTTTCAGAAAATTCAGTATTTTTTCTGTAATTTTGTTTAGCAATAAGAATGAACAATTGACATTTCCATGTATTTAATAATCCATCAGGATAACTTAAGTAGAAACACAAATGTGGTAAAAACGATGGCCTGAAGCAATGAGCTCCCTTGATTTTTAAGCCAGGCGCCAACATTTTATTTTTCTCTAACCATGAACAGAAGTAAAAGTTTTTACTCTAAACTTTTTATGTTAAAAAAAATAGAAGATAAGAATTTACTGAAAGATATTAAGTAGGATTAAAGAATAGTAAGTAAATATGCAATGCTTAGAAAAATATTGGACTTGAGCCTTTCCCCAAGTTAGTAGATACTGGTACCTATTGGTTAGTTGGTTATCCAAGGTATTGGCCTTATGTGTTTTAGCATCATGTCTGTCTGAGATCCTTAAAGAAACAAAACAAAAGACTGGATGAACATTACATTATTAAACTCCTTTTAGACTTCTTTGATGCTAGAATAAGTTTATAACATAATCTTTCTCTAGTAAAAATAAATGTTTTTCAGGTGTTACATTTTAGAAAATTTTACAATAAAAAGCTATTTGTGGCAAAATTTATTTATGAGGCAATTATGATAGATTTTGGAATTTTTAAAGTTCATGCTTTTCAATGAGCCTTCCTGACTCATTAAGCATTTAACTCATTGGCCATTTCATATTCATTATTGTTTAATAATACACATAACCAATGACAGTACCTCCTATGTTGGTAAAATACATCATGGGAAAACTGAAGTATTTTTTAAATGTTTTGTGGCATAGACAATGCTATATGCTTACCAAATTCATTTTATTTTCCTCTGAGCACAAAGGAGGACCACGCTTCTGATTCTTCATTGCAATTGAGTTGGGACCATGTGGTTGAGTTCTAGACTAAAGACTGTGGACAGAAATGTTGTCTGCCACTTCCAGACACATCCCGAAACCTCTTGCATGATACTGCATGCTCTTTATTCTCCTTCCATTATGGCTTTGGTGCCCATGGATGGGAGATGTCAGTGTTAAATCCAGCACTAAGAGTATAGCAGAGTGCCCACCTTCCCAAAAACAGGTTATATAAGGCAGTATATATAAACATAGAACATAGGTCCTGGGTCACTTCACAGAGCAGAGATGTCCCCCTTTCTTCCAGCAAATCACATTGAACTCTGATGAGAACAAGCAGAAATCTATTGTGCCAGACCCCAGAGATTTGGGGGCGAGGGAAGGAACTTGTTAAAAGAGTTAGTTACACTACCCTGGAGAATTAATTTACTTTGACTAACACATTTTGTTAATAGGGCCTGCCGGCCATCAGACGGTTTAATCTCTCTAATCTCCGGACTCCACGAGGAGGGTAGGTCTGGAAAGGGCACATTTGTCTGCCCCTTGGGTCAGGAAAGGAGACACCCTGTGGGCTCTGTGCCCGTGGTGGGGTCTCATGACTGCGACCCCTGTTTCATCCCTTCCTTCCCTCACACCAGGGTCTTCCTGAGATGTCGGGCTGTCTTCTGGCACATTCTGCAGCCTGCTCAAAACTAGGATGTAGCAAAATTAGGCCCAGAAAAACGAAAGGGCAACAAAGTTCGTCTGTTGATCCCACACTACAGGTCTACTAAAACATTCTCTAAATTTCCACTTTTACCATCAGCTTTAGTACAGGCCTTTTTATTATATAAACTGTTTCTGGGAAGACAGACACTATGCCATGCTCTTAAAAAAATTTACATGAAAAAGAATCTGACTTAATTGTCATATGTTTACAATAAATTCCTAGATGTCATTTTTACATATGGAACTTAAATGCGAGGTAAATAACTCTAATACATTAAAATTTTATGAGTCAACTGCAAACAGCTTTTGTTTGTTCATGTTTTGTTTGTAATGCCACAAACTGATAACTCTTGAATACAAAAGGGTAGGATGGTTGGACTCCTCCCAAACTCCATATTTTCAACAGACTGTTTGCAGTACAGGCATTAACTTATACAGCATCCTAGAATCCATGTATAGAAATCTTATATCTAAGGTGATCATCAGGCCAAAGCCTATGAATATATCCCATACACTAACTGCTACTGAGCCTCCAAGATGTTTCTATTTAAAGAGCTCTGCAGTAAACCACTGTGAATACCATAAGTAAGATCTCAGGTAATTCTAAATCTTAAATCTATCAGACTTTATAGCTGTCCATGAGAACTTCATGAAACGTAAAAGTTGTTTTTTGGGACTTTGGGAAATTGTTACTCTGGAACATGGGAAGCAGCAATCAGTCTCAAGCAAACAAAACCGTAATACCAAGCACTCTCAAGGCTTAAATAAAGGATGAGTTCTGATATTAAAATTAAATGAATTTAATCAAAATTCTACAGTGTAAGTCTATGTAGGCAATACTGCATGCAATAATACGAATAGCTACTGATTACTCTTTACTGCTCCTTTTATACATTTTCCTTTACTCTTGAGAACCTCCCTACAATATAGTTGTAATTATTTTCATTTTATAGATAAAGAAATGAAGTCTCAGAGAAGGCGGGTGACTTTGTCTTGGCTACGCAACTAGCAAGTAGTCTATCTCCAAGTTCTTCCCAGCAGCACTGCATGTCGTCGTGAACCTAATCCTTGTTGGGTGGTTGTTCCAGCACTCACATCTTCCTTCAGTTATTATTCTTCACCTCTGCTATCTCTTCTAGTTTATGAATCATCATGGAGAGAACTGTCCAATATATACGTCACTGTCTTATTACTCACAGAAATTAATTTTGTGCTTCCCTTGGAAATGCAATTTCTTCCAACTTCTGATATGAAATAGGTTGTTTAATAGGAATCAGCCTTGGGGACAGGAAGTACCCAAACAATATTATCAGCAATATTATTTTTTAAAAGGCGAGGGAGGGGGAAGAGTTACACTTCCACCACAAAACACTAGAGGTCACCCAAACCTAGGTTTTCCAAATTAATCATTGCACCAGTCAGGATTTGGGCCATATAACATGCTATGTACACGGTTATTTACTTACGTTTCTTTAGAACGCCTCATATTTTTACCTATATAAGTATATTTTTAAAGGGAATTCTTCAAGTGTAAACTCAGTACTTTTTTCATCTTCATTTAAAATAAATTCATTATTATTGAAATGCACAGGCATACACACACCGGATATATTTGATCATCTTCCTCCTAAAATTATTTCACATCTTGCATCAGAGCAGCCTGCCTGAGGGGACCCAGATCGTGCTAACAGCACTTGCCTGTTCTGTCCGTTACATCTACTTCCACACTGTGAGGCACACAGAGGACTGCTGGGGCGGCGGGGCCTGCGAAACGAGCTGACTAGGATGTGTTTTCCAAACATGCCACTAGACTTCTGCATAAATAAAGTAGATAATCTCTGGCTTCACTTTTTCTAGTGTATAAATGGAAGGTTTGGGGATATATTGGTGGTTTTGAATTTTGGCTGCACATTAGAATCACTTTATAAGCTTAAAAAAAACCAAAACCTGTGTCCCACCTCAAACTAAGTAAATCAGAACTCAGGGGTGAGAGGTGGTGGGAACAAGTTATCCATAAAATTTAAAAGCTCTCTCAGTCACTCTGATTTGCAGCTGAGGCTGACGGTGACTCAAGTAGTTTTCCTGTGTGCTTTGGCCTGCTCCGTCGCTAGTGATCCAAGACCCTATCTCGACCGACCCAACAGCGACTTTCAGACACATAGCCCATGAAGGCTTAGGTCTCCCACATATTTACTGTTCTTGAGGTATCATTCTCTCACTTTCAAATTCATTCCTAGAATAGTGTTTTCTCCTCATTTAATGATGCAATAGGGCAGCATGCAAGGCCCAGGTGAATGGCCTCCTCTCTCCACGTAGCGCCATGGAAATGAGATCTGGTACATATATTGTACTTCTACAAACTCATCCTTGTCAGGGCTATTAATTACAGGGGAGACATCACCTCCTTAGGGATATCAGTGCTGACTGTCCTCCTTTGGGCAGACTGACTTGGAAAACCTATGAGCAAAGTATATACATTTGCTATATTAATTAACACTGGCATAGTCTGAATGTAGAACAAATTAGATATCGAGTTTCAACATATCTGCTTAAAATGCAGCAGTAGCCCTTTTGCCTACAATAACAGCACATCTTTAGCTACAGGAAGTGACCCCTGCTGTCAATGGCCTCACGTGTCCATCGTGCCTAGACTCTAATTAAAGATGTTTACTTTGCTCGTCACTTGTGCTTACTATCCAACATGCATCTCTACCCAACATAAAATTTAGATGTGATTTGTAGCGCTTACACTTCAACCCGAATAGACATTTTCTCTACGGAGATGAGCCCTTTCCTTCTGTGTAAGAGTAAACTGACAACAGGCACAGCATAATGGACTCACTGTATAAGCCACACAGTGATGCCAGCGCCTAAAGAACAGTTTCACTCGCTAAAGAGCTAACATCCTAGAGTGGATCAAAACTACTGTTTTATGAAAATGTACAGTCTCTCCATAAAGCAGTCATACAGAAATTGTTCTTCCTCCATCGCTGGGGCAGAAGAGCTGGCCACTCAGATTCACAAAGATAACTATGTAATCCCTTTTAGGGGGGTGCAGATTCCACACAATGGCCAGTCACAGTTTCTTTGATTTTTTCCTATTGATCTACTATTAGCAGGATTTTATGAAAACTGTGTTACTGAGTCAAAAGTTTAAGTTTTGAAGAGGATAATTCAATTCTTATAGCCCTCCTATACCTGCGTATAAAATATCATGGTTCCAAGATTACCTTAGTAAGCATTTAAGTACCCGGGGCTTTCTCAGTCATGGGATTTAGTATGTTATGCTTTCTGCTGACATGGTTCAAAACACCTTACCTGTCCAAAGTGTCATCAGATTTGTACCGACTGATTGTGGCTTTTAGCTCATTCCTCTCATCTGTTCTCCTGTACCAAAGATAATTAGAGACATCAAATAAATTACCAAAAAAATAGTTTATAAAACCTATCATGCATTCGGTAAAATTTTGGCCTATTCAGTAGGAGAAGTATATGTTACCAAGGAAAGACAGATTTGAAGTATCCAAATATTCCAAGGTTTTGAGTCTGAAAGAATAAATTATGACAAACCCAATTCCTCATGCTAATAAAGGAATCCTTCTCTCAGTCCACTATTTCTAACTAGAATGTAATGCACTCCAACTGAGAAAACAGCACAACATGAAAATGGATAATGACTAAGATGTATCTCATCAATCGTGTGGATTTTAACGCAATAGGAACTCCAGTCCCTTACAAGCCACTATATTTTATTTGCAGGGTTTTGGTAGCACAACAGGCTAAATACAAATTGCCTTATTTAAAGTTCAGCACTGTGGACAGGGAGGAAAGACAACACGTTGGCAGGAGAGAAGGAGCGACAGGAAAGAAAGGAAAAGAGAAACAGGAAAAGCCAGAAAGAAATAAAAAGAAGAAAGTGGGAGAAGAGAGAACAGGTGGATGTAGGAAGGAGAGGAAAAGCGAGGAGAGAGAGGGAGGAGCAGGGGGAGGAGAGACACCGGCAGAGAGAGTTGAAGAAGACAGGGAAAAAGGAGAGGAGGAGAAAGGAAAATAAGGGAAGAGAGGATAGAAGGCTCAATAGTAGGAATTATAGTCATCGAAGCAGTGGAAATATCTCCATCGGAATGATCAATCAGAATATATATATATATATATATATATATATCTCCATCCTGTTTAATACTTTGTATAACCCTGTGATACAGGGAAAGCAAGCAAGCTCATTGGAGAATTAAACAATGATTTATTTGTTTGCATATCAGCAAACACAGATCAAAGGCATTAAATCAGTAACAGTCCTAAAATAGTCTATTTAAGATTTAATTTTTAACTTGTTGTCATATATTTTGAGCAAATATTTGGAGGTCAACAGAATGCAATGCACAGTGTTAATGACTATGAGAAAATTAAGAAAGAGTTGTGGACCCAACACACAGAGCTAGAGGGACAAATTAGATGCCTTCCTACACCCAAAGGTACACAGAGGTCAGTGTTGTAAAGTGGGTTCAAGTATTGTATTGTACAAGGAAGCTCTAAGCTGAGAAGGCTTATTTGCAGAGGTAGGGATCAGAGAAGGCTTTATGATTGAGGTATAGTTTGAGCTGGACCTTGGAGGTTACCTAAATGTGGACACAGTGCAGTAGAGTAAAGAGAATACCATCAGTTAAGACGAGAGAAAAGGAAAGGAAAACACCTAACAGAGTAAAATCATGCTGTAGTTCCCCCTGAGAGTAATGCCTGGGGGCACATAGCTGCTGCAGGGCCACCCAACCCCTTCCACAAAACAGCCCCTTTTCAGGCAGTTGCTTTCCATCTCATTAGCTGCTTTAATCTTCCTGACAGCACAGCACATCATGTTATATTGTGTTTCTTTCTTTTCAGCCTCTCCTTCCTCCACCTTTAACTGGGAGGCAGGTTCTACAACAGCAGGGATTTTGTTTGGTTCCCAGACCTTACCATGGCATCTGGCTCACAGGACGCATTTGTGCAGGTGTCGTTTGTGCTTATTTGACATGTTTTAATGATCTGGCAGAGAAATACACCATGAAATTGCCTAGTTTTTGATGAGCTGAAGCTTGTTATCGAGGGCGATGAGAATGTCTCTCTTTTTCCTTTACTTTTGGTTTCTGCTCACAACGAGCTCTTTGCACACATTGTCACTTCTGCTGGGCTGCCTCTTTCCCTGCCCCATGCCTGCCATCCACCCTTTCCTACTTGGAAGTCTCTCCTGCTCACACTGCAAGCAGCAGCGCCCACAGGACCACTTCCTTTATTGGGGCGGAGTTAGTCTTACCCTCCTCTCTACACCCACAGCTGCAAGAGCACGTCCCATGGTAAATTTCATTTAGCGTTTTAGTTTATGGATCCATACTTTTCTTGAATGTGAGAGCTCCTTAGGGTCATGGGTGGCATCTTATGCATCTTTGTATTCCCAGCACCTGGCATAATATTGGCACATAGTAGGTGCTTCAAAGTGGTATTGGGCAAAAGTGTCAAGTGAGCTTCCATTTGAGAAAGCGCAAGGGGAAAAAAACCCTACACTGCCCTTTTGGGGAAATGTAGTTTGAGAAACACTAGATGTAAGTCAAAGGGAAAATGACTCAAGCTTAAAATTTTTTGTTATTGAACATAAAAGCTCCACGTGCTACCTTAGCCAAAATGCTGTCAACCAACCGGAAGGTTCCAGGAAACCAATATAGTTTAACATATAAAATAAGCACAGCAGGCATTAAGCTCCTGTTAACCTGAAACACACTGAGAATATGAAGCTTAGCTTTCCCGGTCACAGTGAAACACAAGTGTGCTCGTTCCTAGTTCCCTGGAAAGGCCAGTAATGAGGAGGGAGAAATTCCCACTGGTGGCTCAACCCAAACGACCCAGCTCTCTTTGTGTGCTGACATGGGGGCCAACTGAGAACCAGGATGTGCTTTTCAAAATCATGAAGACCCAGGAGAAGGCACAGAGTCTGCCGAATCACAGAGCACTCATTCAAGCAGGTGAACAGCGGTTGGCAGTCAGAAAGCCAGATACTTTGTAGAGGGCCATATGCTCAGTACCATTACAACAGGTCAAGATTATGACCTGGTTTAAAAAACTTTAGAAAAATTCACAAATAAGAGTTTCCAAAACAGAAATATTCAAGGTGTCTCTTTAACTTTTTGATGACCACACCATGAAAGACAGTTATACTCCTCCACTAGGTACTTTTTGGTGACACACAGGCTATCAGACCAGATAAAACTTGTGTCTGATAAATAATTGAGCTCTTCTGATGGGTGTGGTTGTATGTGCATGAATGTAAAGGTGTTCTAATAAGAATATTATCTATTTATTTGATCAATCTTAGATTATTTAAATCATTATGATTACTAGTTTTGTCTGAATTTTCCTACTAGTTTGTCTTTGTCAGTGTATTTCCCACTGAATATCATTTACTGATTTTCTACAAGCCTACAAGTTTCTAAAAACAAGTATACCGTCTCAGGAAGTGAACACTGGAGCTGTTATGTTTACATTTTAGGGTTTCCTTCGCTAAGGTTCAGAGATATCTTATCTGGTCATGTCTCGGGGAGGCCCTTTCCCTCTCCCATCTGGAGGAAGGAATTTGTTCTACTCTTTAAGCTGTAGTTATGGAAGCTTGGAGCTGGAGCTTCCCATAGCTTGGCCTGTGGAAACCCTCGTGATATCATAGGGTATCCTTCACGTGCCCACGATGCCAGGGCAAGCCTGAGGGTAGCCACAACTATTCAGCTTGCCTTGAACAAGCCTTCTCAAAAACTACCCCTTTGTGTTTCTGCTGATGATGTAATTTATCTGAAAAACTCACCTGTCCAAGGCATCCTGGGAGTTATGTCGGTTGAGCACCACCCTACCATAATTTTCATCTCTGCAGAGAAAGAACAAAATTAAGTCACATGAAAAATAACCACAGTATTTAGTAAGCACCAAATAAGGGAGACATAAAACAGCTCACAATTTTTGGCAAGGTTATCTCATTTTACTTCAGGCATAAAAACATATCTATGTATTTATTTTAACCAGTCACCACTTGAAAGAGCATGGTGAAAAGAAACAAGTTTGTCAGTACAAATGATCATTATTCTAATTTACCACATGAGATTTCCAAGTGATTCAACAATGGAATAAGTGTTTGTTGTTCTGTTTTGATTTTCCATCAGAGTGTGGGAACATGAGGCCATCTACTTTGTATCTATTAGAAGAGTCATTTTTTTTTCTGCAGAAAGGCAAAAGTTTTCTATAAAAATATTCTGAATTTAACTAAGCACATCATGTCTGGACATTTTCATTTTATGGACTTAATAGTTTTCCTTGACAAGAGGAGGAAAATAATTACCAATATTTGTGGTTAAAGAGGTTGACTATTCACAGGAGGTTTAACTTGTTTTTGAACTATGATAATACACTGTTTGCTCTTTATGGCCTTTAAAATAACCCTATGTATTAGGCAGAGAAGACACTGTCATACCCAATTCACAGAGAAGAAATTGTTTTTGTGGCTTTCCTAAGGTGAAAAGGTTAGTAAGTGACAGAGGTGGGTCTAGGATCCAGGTCATTTTATTTCAAGCCTTTGCTTTTCCTATTGGTCAACCCTGCCAAAGACCTTCAGGCAGAAAACCCCAAAGCAATGTCCTTCTTACCTTGTACGGCAGGACTGAAAGTACAGGCAACTGTAGGAAATGTCAAAACATGTAGCAGAGCCTTTGGTCTGGAGCCAAGGCAGAGAGTAAGTACCTGAACCTTTTTCATGTCAACCTAATCAAACCTGAAATACCGCATTTCTCCTGGTTCTGCTCTACTAATGTTACTCAACACTCTGAAACCATATAAAATAGAGCTGTAAAGAAAACTGTAGTAGACAATTAAAAAGAAGGAAGAGAGAGACCATTCCAGCAAATATATACCTTCAAAAACCCCAGAGAACTTTTCTATGTCCCTTGGTATCCTTCCCTAAACTTATGAGAGAGCAGCAGACATTGGACATGCCTTTACCTGAAGAAAAATGATAACACAGAGCCCAGAGCTGGGCTAGTGGGAGCAGGGGAGACATCCGAGCCAATTTCCCCTTCGTTCAGCAGCTGTTACACCACCCAGGCTGGCTTCCCTGGGTCTTTTTAAGGAGGAATGCCAGGCATAAAACCACCATTCCTGCCAACTATAATTTGTCTTAGACATCTCTATCTTTACCCATCTGTGCAAATATTTGCAACCCAAAATGTATGCTCTATATTTGATATCACTCAACCACTCTGAAAACACAGGAATGCCATGTTAGGCTCTGACAGAAGTAATAAATGTTGCTTCATGGAAGGAAACAATTGTCCAAAAGTATTAACTCTGAAAGTTAGTATAAGTCTCCAAATACCCCCAAAAGTCCCTTAAATAATATTTAATAACAAAAATCAAGAACCATTTTTATATTACAGTTGCAAGTACGCTCCTCAAATAACCATTCATAGACAGTTTGATAGTAAATTTAGAGTAAGTATCCTGTAATGCAAAGTTTCTGAACTTCAGCATTCCCGACATCATGGATTTGATAATTATTTTGCTCTGGAAACTTTTCTGAGAATTATAGGATGTTTAACAGCAACACTGGCCTCTACCTTCTAGATGTCAACTAAAAATGTCCCTGTAACCTTGCCAAACATCCCCTAAGGGTAAAACTGCCCCGACTGGATTGAAAACCATTGGTATCACAGAGGGATAAGGATCATACTAAAACCTCCACTCCACCACTTAACAGCAGTGTGCCATTGGACAAGCTACTTAACTTCTCTGAGCCTCACATTTCTGTGTGTGTAATGAGGATATGCTACTTACTTGTGTGATTGTTGTGAGATTTAGTAATAACTTGATATGTAAAGTACCTAGTTAGTATCAAGCTTGATACAAAAGGAGGAATCAAAAATGTGTCATATGTATATACATAATTTATATACATATGGGATGAACAAATATCTACCGTAAATACATGTTTCCAAAAAGGCAGCATACCTATGGGCATAGCTTTAGAATCATAGTTGGAGAAATGCTCAAAGCAGACAAAACTTTCTCAATGATAAGTCTTTTCCCTTACAAAGTAATATATCGACCACCAACTAGAAGTATATGGCTAGTTGGGATTAAAATAAGTTAAGAATTGATTGATTTTACTTGTGCATAATTTTATTTTAAATTATTATCACATTTTTAAATGTACAATCATATTATTCTGTGTTTATTTCAACTGACATGATCAACATGCACCACAAATGCCTATTCAGTTATAACAATGAAATTCTGCTTTCTCTCACTAATGACTCACGTTCTCTGGTATGTAGATATTAAAAATGGTAGTGATATTCTTGAAAATATGTTACCAATTTATGCTTAATAAATTTTACCAAAAATTAGGCCATGCAACAAAGTGTTCTGGGATGAAAGTATTCCGTTTTTAGATGGCCATTGGCCTCCCAGACAGAGACTGGATCTGTCTCTCCTCATCCATCCATTCCACGCCATCTTACCTTTCTCCTTCAGGACGGTTCTTTATCCAGCTGTTATCCTGCAAGAAAGTCCTTCTTTTGTTCACCTCAAGAAAGCCCTGCTGTCTCTGTGTGGTCCCTGGAGTAGCACTCATCATAGCTATCAACAGAAAAATGAAAAAAAAAATAGGAGATGTAAAGGCACGGAGTTGAGCGTGGGTTTGTTAACCTGGAAATCTCAGAAGGCACATCTGATTGGCCGGCATCAATCGTCTAGGCTGGCAATTCCAGTACTGTTTCAAAGTAGGATGCACCAGCAAGAAAAAACAAATCCCACACCCCATCATCAAAGATAACATGTAGCTGCTCGGGTGCCAACTGAAACTGCCCATGCAGCGCACGAGGCCCCGTCAGGCACCCGGGAACGTGGAACTGTGGGCTTGGGATAAACCAGGGCAGGGCTTTTTAGTGGGAGGCTATTTTACCCAAAGCAGGAATATGACTCAGAAATACACACAGAACTATTTTAAAAGCGCCTAGTAAAATAATAGTCAATATGGCCTGGTGTTTTTATTATAAATACCTTAATTCTTTGATCTCATAGGCGCCAGAAACAGAAAAGGTCACACACAAAACAGGACATTTTTACTGATTTAATTTAAAAATCTTTGAATTGCAATTATATAAGTAAAAGCGGTTGCATTCTTACTTCTTTCTTCAGCCTAACTTTAGCAATTAAGTTAGACTGTTGCTTCTAAGCATTCAATATCTATATAAAATAATTAGAACCTGTGAGTTGTTTTTCCCAGATTTTTAAGTTTTCTGAGTAAGGGCTATATCAGCTACATTACCATTTCCTGTGGGAGAAGGTTTTCTTAAGGCAAAATTGGACATGCTGCCTTCCAGTACAGATCTGAAAGAAAAACGGGGGTGGGGGAGACAAAACAATGACTCTAGGAATCTACATGTGACTCTTCCGTTGCAAACAAGACACATTTTTCAATGGCATTGACAGTCACAGGATCTGATATAATGAGTACATGACATAAAGGGTCCCCTAAGAGCCTGAGAGTTCATCTCTTCCACTGTGTTTGTTTTACTGATGATGAAACTGAGGCCCAGAGTGTTTAGTGTCCCCAGTGTTAGAGAACAATTAATTGGCCGATTCAGGCCATCAGCTAACCTGTTTATTCAATCAATCAACATGCACCAAATGCCTATGATATGCCAGGCACTGAGCCAGGAGTTGGGGACAAAAGATGAGTAAGGTAAGTGTCTGATCAGGTCAATAAAAAGAGACATGGAACCGATAGCACATTATGCAGGGCTCCCTAAGGAGGGCTCAGGGCTCCTCTGGGGAAGCTAACAGGAACCCAGGCAACTGGTGCCTGACTAGAACCAAAGCAGCCCGGCACGTAGAAGTCACAGGTCTGGGAAACACGCATGATTACAGGTAACCGTTGCTTGGGAAAGCCCAGAGTTTCTTAGCTGCGGCCAACCACCACTCATAAGCTGTTGAGGGGTTAAGGCCACTCAGTTCCAGTTTGCCTGGAACTGACTAGGTGCCCAGGGCTGTGTTATGGCTCTGCGAATCCTGGGCGCTTTTGCTTTCGTGGGCCTCTTCCTTTTTTTTTTTTTTTTTTTTTTTTTACTTCTTTTCCCTTCTAACATACATTTTTAAATTTTGACTGATAACAAACCAGGACATAACAGATTTTAAGAAATTTCCTTTATGCGCGTGCACACACACACACACTTAAAGATTATGACTGTGTTAGTATAAAGATGAATAATAATCCAGGCTGGTTTCATAATTATATATTTATTATTATTACTATAATTATTTTTTTCTTTTGCTGATAAAAGAAATTAGTATTAGAACCCCTCAGTGGGCCCCTCAAGGTACATGGGCCCTAGGCACTGCCTTTCCTGTTTAATGGATAATTTGGCCTCTGGGTTTCCCCTAATAGGAAACTTTCAGTTTTAAAACTGGATCTGGAGCAACCAGAGATGTCTGGTCACCCTAGGGGGGTATTATGTTTTTGCAGAGCTCACCCAAGCAGGCAGGGTATGGAATGTTGGCAGGGCATTAGCTCTTACGTCAGAAGCCAGTTCTAGGTGCAGCTTTATCCAATACATGTTCTCTAACTGAACCATTTAGCCTCCCTGTCAGCTGGGGCTAATGAAACCTGCCATGGACTCAATGAGGATTTTGTGATGAGTCAATGAATTATGTATACAAAATTATTCTGTTAAACAACAAATGCTATTTGGACTTAAGTTACTACGTTCAGACAGCCCTTTATAGGTATAACTTGGGGTTCCCGAACGCCGCTATCTCCTGCCCTCTGATGCAAAAGTATCTCCTATAATAATTTGTCATGTGACTTCAAGTGGTAAAGATGCATTTCTTTGAGTCAAGGCATTGTTTCCTCTGGAGTCTTTTTATAGAATGTAAATTTCCCTACTGTCAGCGAGGAACAGAAGCTACTGGTGCCTAGGACAGGTTCCCTTTACCGGTCTGGTGCTTAGGGGCTATAGGCTCTGGCTGCTCCTGCTCTGGGGAACAGCCCTGAGCCACCACAAGCTGTAGCAGCTGACTGTCTGACTCAGGATAAAAAAGGTCACTCTCTTGCCTCAAGGTAGAGGCAATTCCGCAGGTGACCTGTGCTTCAGAGCGCACCATGGGGTCCGGGTAGCAGGGAGGACATCCCACTCAGCTCCTTGCCCTGTCTCCCTTTCCTGCTTCTCCTTTCTCCTGAGACAGTATGAGACCATTCTCTCAGTACATCACAGACACCCTCAGGCACTGCTTCTAAGGAACCCAACCTAAGACTAAAAACTGGTGTAATCAATCTAGGCTTTATTTTTACAGAGACCAGCAGCTATTCACTCTATTGAGAGCTGGGGCTCTGAAGGTCTTTCTGTAGTTATATCTGCATTTGAGGATGCTATTTAAGGTGACTGTGTCACCTTGTGTATGTTATACAGTTCAGCCCTCTAATGAAATAGAGCTGTTTTGAGGATCAAATTAGATGACACATAAAGCATCTAATATTGCCCACCACACAGTAGGTGCTTAATATTCTTAACTCCATCCCTCTGTTGCCTTAGAAAGCAGAGCGCCAAGGCAGAGGGGATGTGTGGTTGGGTGTAGGGGCAAGGAGTATGGAACAGCCTTGAATTTGGGTCCTAGGCAATCAGGGAGTCTGGGGAGCTTCTGGCTATCTGTGTTTGGAAGTTGCTAAAACTTTGGCAGAAGGAGAGGTAAAGAAGCATCTACTGGCAAATTTCAATTTCAACTACTTCATTTTGCCTCAGTCTGGCCTTGCTTCTCTGAGTCCTTGGCTAATATATTTCCTGTTTCTAAGCTGGGCCCTGATAAATTCTTTTCCTCTGAACAGGTAAAAGGACTGGAGAATTTATAATTGATTGAACTGGGTTTTGAGGTGGTCAAAACACTGAATGTATATTGGATGATATATTTGCAGAAGTTGCAAATTCAATTGTGAGACACAGGGTAGAATAAAGGGAGAAAAGGCATTTTATAATTACCTGCTTATTTGCTTGTCTCTCCTAAAAGACTGAGTTTCCTGTGCATGAGGCCAAAGTCTTTCTCTCCTACATTCCCAGAGTGGGTGCTCTCTAGGTGCTTGTTGTGGGCTGAATTGTGTCACCCCCAAAAGCCACATGTTGAAGTCCAACCCTCAGCACCTTATGATGTGACTGTATTTGGAGGTAGTATCTTTAAAGGAGTGATTAAGTTAAATGAGACCTTTAGGATGGACCTAATCCAATCTGATTTGTGTCCTTGTTAACAGGCAGAAACTTGGAGACACAAAGAGACACCAGAGATGTGTGCACACAAAGAAAGGACCATACAAAGACACAGGGAGCAGGTGGCCATTTGCAGGCCAAAGACAAAGGTCTCACACGAAACAAAAACCTGACAACACCTTGACCTTGGACTTCTCATCTTCAAAACTGTGAGACTATGGATTTCTGTTGTTTACATCACCCAGTCTGTGGTATTTTGTTCTGGTAGCCCTCTCAAATGAATAGAGTAATTATGAGAAATGTGATTTAATAATTTCTATATGAGCTACATCATTCCAAGAACTTTGTGCCATACTGTGACCAATGTCCTTGTGACTTCAATTGTCCTACTGCACAGGGCAATTGCTAATAATGTAAATATCCATTAGTTGAGCACCTGCTCTGAACAACTTATCTCATAGGCATTGCCTATCAGCCTCGAATAAACTCTACAAGATAGCTATGATTACCTTCTCCTCTCAGATAAGACAACCGAGGCTCAGAAAGAATATTTAACATGCCAAAGGTGATAAGAAGCAGAATCTAGCTTCTAAACCAAAGCCAACTCCTTCTTCAGCAACCAGAAGTAATGCTCATCACGGATCTTTGCAAGTCCAGAATGGTCCCCTGGCACTAGAGTGAGGGAGGGAAGATAGACAGCAGGGGCCATACAAGGCTCCTTGCACGACTCTTGACATCTCACTCTTTGGAAGTCCCATGGTTTCTGCCTCCAGTGCCTGGAAGCAGGAGAGCCAGGGCAGCCACCCAGGGAATCATTGCAGCAGACAAACCCTTACAGAGCAGCTTTCTCATGTCCTTTCTGATATTTTCCTGGCATAAGTCAACACAAAAACTTGTGCACAAATGGTCATAGCAACATTATTTAAAACAGCCAAATACATACATACATACATACATACATACATACATACATACAAAGAGTCCAAAGCCCCCCTCCCCAAGGGATCAATGGATATACAACATGTGGTATATCCATACAATGGTATTAGTTGGCAATAAAGAGGAAGTAAGTACTGACACATGTTACAACATGGACGAAGCTTGAAACATCTTAAATGATGAAAGAAAACAGACATAAAAGACAACATATGTATGATTCTATATGGATGTTGTTTTTTTACATTTTTCGTGGTATCTCACCTCAATTCTCCTCCATTTGGGCCCTGCTGGGTAAGAAGGAGAGTTCAGACAATACTAATATATTAGGTGATTTTATAGTAATTTATATTTGATCTCATTTAGTTTCCACAACGGCACTTTAAGAGTGACATAATCCCTCCAGTGCAGAGACAGAAGCAGAGAATCGGCCTGAGTAGCTGATGATGCATGGCAAAGCTGAGACTCAACCTGAGGCTTTCTAGCTCAATGCTCATCATTTTTCCTCTATGCCAGAGACTCCAGATTGTCAGCACTTCCTGCTGAGAGTTGTATAGAGAAAAGCAGGTATCTCCTCTTTATATTTAGGGCTGGCTCTAATCAGATCCAACACCCTGTGAGAAGGTCTGATAATTTCATGCCTTTGGTAACTAGGCATTCTCCAGAAGACCTAACTAAATGGGACCAAGTGAGATAAGACTTCCAAACAAGTACATGGCTCTTAACCTTTCTTCCTGCCAAGTAATAGCCTTGGGCGTCCTTTAACACCTCACTAGTTCCACCCCAGTCTCTAATGTATTTCCTAGGAATAGCTTCCAACAACCTCACTTGCTTTCTCAGTGTTATTATCTTGTTGCTTCTTGCATGAAAGTCCTTTGGCCTTTGGTCTCACCCTTCCCCTTCTCTGAAACTAGAATGCCCTGCAGAAGGTGGGTACAGCCAACTTGGGGCCATGGACAAAGCCCAAGGACTAAAGTCACACAGTAACAGGAGCAGAGCAGGAAGCTAGAGGGAGGTTGGTTCCTTGACGGTGTCATAGAGCTGCCACAATAGCCCTGGATTATTGATCTCTGAACTTCTCCTTGCAAGAGAAAAGTAACTTTCTTAATTTGTTCAGGAGATTATATTTCCATATTTCAGTTACTCAAACCTAATGTTCTTTCTACCTGTTATGAAGCTAT